TCGTCTTGCTAAATTCCTGCGCAACCCGAGAGTCAGAAATTCTTTCTCATAAATCCTTCGGTAAAATTCTGACGGATGATCGAATGAAATCTCGGGAAGTTTCAAATCTTCAAAAACTTTCGTCATATAATTCAATGGGCAATCTTAAAATTTCTATCGGTCAGAATGAAAGGAAAGGAAAGCTCACAGTAATGGAACGGACAATATATTAGAGATATGTCTATGTATATATGTACATGTAGGTATATATTATAGAACTATGTATTGTCATTCTACATCACAAAAGCCTACATCCTAAAGTTGCTGATCTCGATGAAATTTATCGATAATTTCATTCGTATAATGGAATCCAGAGTCACTAGGGAACTCGACGCTGTAACGACGCAATTTCGCGCGTCCTGTTCAAACTTCCGGTTGCTACTTCAGCCGAGATACAGAGTTTCTCCATGTTGATTCCACGTTTCCGAGAGTTTCAATTCATTGGATATTCTGGAATTCGACTCGTAAATATCATCAGTGTCGCGCTGTCTGGCATGTATATTCGACGATCGAGTTTGATCAAATTGTGCTCTGGTATACATATATCGATACGCTAATGTCCTCTGCCCACGTGAAACGCCGCCACCCACTCGGTGAACACCGTCCCGGGCAGGAGAGATTGTTGGATCGTTCACGCTGTTTACGCTTCGGTTGTTTAACAAAAACGCGGAAAACATGCGTGACATGTGGTCGGAAGTTAGTCGATAAATCATTTCCACAGATTGTAAGAATTTCTGACACTGTTGACCAGTCGCAATTATACTTGTGCTTTTAATTGGCTACGAGTTGTATTTGTATCGATACATAATGTTGTATTGACATTGTAATGATAAAAGTACAAAATTTTAGTTGATCACTGCAATGTATTATAGAGTGATTTTTGATCGGAAGATAAATAATAGATGTAATACTTATTATAATTGTAGTTTTTGAATAATATATAATCTTTTATTGGTATTGTGAAATATTCTACTTAACATTATTAGCACCGTTATAATTTCAATCTCAAGTAACATTTGTACGATGTTGCCTCTTGATCAGTTATAAGCTCAAATTTAATATTTTTTTTTATCGAAATTTATTCAAAATTTAATTTTTTTTTATCGAAATTTATTCAAAATTTAATCTTTTCTTTTATCGAAATTTATTCAAAACTTTCGTCAGAATTTCATTACAAATTATGTTAATTAACATTACATGTTGCGGAGTTAGAACTGTACGAAACTTGAAATTAATTAAACGAAATCTCACTTTTACGAGGAATAACAACACAATCGATGGCAATATTAAGGCAAACCAAAGATTTTCAAAATGAATTCATCGTCCAGATATTCATCACTTGGGACGAAAGTTTCGTTTCAGCAAAAGTGTTTATACCATACATGACACGACGATTTCCAAGCACTCGATGCACCTGACGTCAAATTAAAGATGGAAAGATGTACGGCGGACAGCGTGTAACACCTACGACATTCAGTGAAACAACGACACAAGAAAGACCAAGGGAGAATGATCGTAAACGTAGGATGGCAATAAGGAGAGAGAAAAGAAACCTCGTTGAACCGAGAGTCAAGTTTAGCCGTGATCTACGCCGATCTTCGGACCCTTCCAGTTTTCCCAAGTTCTTCGATACAGTGGATATATAAGACAGGGTGAAAAAGAGCGACAAAATGAAACGCACGAAAATCGGTAATATAAATTTTCTTTCCATACGAATAAATCTTCTCTATGTAAGAAATACGAAATAATTGGGAAGAGAATATAGTTAACCTCTAAGTAGACGTCCAATTTTAGATAAATAATCGGAGGTCATGTTTGATAGAAAATAGGAGTAAATTTTTTTTTTCTTTGGCAACATTGGAAACAGATTTTTATGCATTTATAAGAAATTTTCAAATGCAAAATTAAATTGCTCATAATACAATATATACTAAAAAGATAGAACCAAAATATGACACTTTCTATAGTTTGTATAATATTTTGTATTGGTACATAAAACAACTTGGTTCTATCTTTTTAATTACATTTTTAAAAGACATGAATTCGTATGAAAGTCTGCAAATGGAAGATTGCATAAATCTTCAAATAACGACATTAGAATATAATGCAAATGTTAATTTAAAATTAGCTGGGAACACAATGGCCCCGATAGTTTCACTTAAGAGTTAGAGAAACTGAAACAAAATGGAAATAGAGAGAGAGAGAGAGAGAGAGAGAGAGAGAGAGAGAAGAGGAAACGAGGTAAGCAAAGAATCGAAAAAGATGTATGCAGCGAAGTAGCTTTACACGTGTTAAATAAGTCAACGGGAGACACCCGATGGCGGCGTTGCGATGCATTAAGCAAGCAATCGAGAACAAGTGGCCGAAAGCAACAACCTGAAAGTCAAGTTTAGCAACTTTCGTTATTGGCTTGCCCTCCCAGGCTATTGTCTGAATTCTCAGCGAGTCGGTCGTGTATGTTGCAGAAAGAGAGAAAAGAGAGTGTCCTCGGAGAATGTGTGCTCGCGTGAGCACGTCGCGTAATCCTCGGATGATGGATGACGCTCGCTTTGCATAGTATGTATCCGTCAGAGAGAAAGAGAGAGAGAGAGAGAGAGAGAACACTGGTGGCAGAAAAATTCGGGAAACGAATACTCGCGCCTAGTGTGTCAAGTTTACGAAGGTAAATCCATGATGCTTGGCTCTCTGTCTCTTAGTTCCGCTGCGCCGAAATTATCCTTCCGGTGAATGGTTATCGAGAACAAGGAAATAATCATCGCGTGTTCTTCTCCTCGTTCCCGAGTGCAACGCTCTTTTTACTATTAGTAACAATACGCGAAGTTGTTTCAAGCGAAAACACGTAAAAGGAAAAATGAAACTCGGAGGACGAAGAAACGAAGAAGAAGCGAAGAGAAACGAAGAGTGCGACGTGCGTTGCAATCGCATCGTGATCGCAGATGTGTTACGACGGTGCGTAACCACGTTATGCAGAGTTCACAGGGAGACTCGAAGCATCGGGGGAACAAAAATCAGGAACAGCAGTAGACATGTTCGAAAAAGGCAGGGAATCGACGAAGAAAAGACGAAAAGGTGGTGGCTCGGAGCGAGAGAAAAGAGAAGAGAAGAGAAAAGAAGAGAGGAGAGGAGAAAAGAAAGAAATGCAAGTAGCGTCAAGAGTATCGAAAAAGGAGGAGGCAAAGGGAATCGGTGAGAATGAGAGACGAAAGAAAGAAGAGAAAAAGAGAGGAGGCGTAAGCGGTCGCGCACACATAGGGTGGCGGAGGCGGCAATGTGGATCGGCGAGGGGCGAGAGGTGTTCAGAGGGGGGTAAGAGAGAAGTAGCAGAAGGGAACAAGTAGGGTTAGGAGATGGCGGGGGATGTCGGACGGTATCCGACACGGTTCGCGCGTTTGTGTGTGTGTGTATGTGTGTGTGTGTACGAATGCGGGATGGGGGCAGAGGGGCGGCCCTCCTCCCTCGGCAGGCTGGCAGAGGTAGAAGTGGACGGGCAAGCGATTCAACCTCCTTTCACTTTCAACGAGCGCGCACCGCGCTTGTTCGCTCGTTCGTTCGCTTGCTCGTGTTCGCTGGTGTTTCATGCGACGACAGATAGCAAACACTTCGTACGAAAATAGGCAACGCCGCTGGTTCAGCCGCGTGTCCGCCCTGTAAATCGTTAAAGCTGCTCGAAATCCTCCCTTAATTGCACCGTGACTTTGAGAATCGCGGATAGTCGTCATCGGGCACATGACCTCTTCTCGGGGATACGTTGCCACACCGCCACTAACTTCTCCGTCGCGATGCACATGGATGAACCGGCCACCTTTTATGGCGCGAGACTGTTTATTTTTTTTTCTTTTCTTTTTAAGTTATTATTAGCCCCCCTCTTTAGCTTACTTTATTGCCCTTTTACTCGTCGATTCTTACTTTCCTTTTGAATTCATCTTTCAAGGGAAGAGAGGACTGGATTTTGAAACGAGTGATTCTAAGATGAATATTCGTTGCACGTTTACTCGCTGAAGTAGTGATTTCTACTTATAAGCGTCACACGCGTGCACGTCAAATATATTTGTTTTCCTATACGCGATTTTCAACGCTTAGAAGAAACTCTGACGCAGAAAATTTCATCTCGAGGAAGAACTGGTTCCTTAATGCGCCGTATTTCGTGATGGCATATTTTAAAGCCTTGGCTCTCGAGGGTGATAGATATCGAGTTCCTCTGCTTCGCCACTTCCGGTCCCGGGACCACATCTGGGGATCTGTTGTTTACAGCGTGGATCTTAACTCGGAGATGCAGTAATACTTAGTTTCGAGAGTAAATATTCAACTAGGTCACTCCTGAAAACCCGCTTTGTATTAAAATCTTTCAAAATTTCGTTTCTCGTACGACCGAGAAATTTTTATTACCTCGAAATTTAATCTATAATAAAAGACTTACTAACAACGAGAAATTTTTATTACCTCGAAATTTAATCTATAATAAAAGACTAGCTAACAACGAAAATGAGAAAAAGAATGTCAAAAGGGTTGTTCTTTGCAGTTAATGAAAATAATCGACGTTCGTATGTCCCAATGCCCGCTCTCAATAATGACGGGTTTAACATACCAAATAACACCTGTACCTTTCGTACATGTAACTACTCGTTTTCAACGAACGAACAGACTTGTTCGTGAATAGTGGAACAAGGATAGATCACAAGTCGTTTACGCTTGGTCTCGTTTCCTCCCTCGATGATGATGTTTCCTCAAACTTGAACAACAGTAGCTATGCTTAACTGTCATTTCTCATCATTAACAATCGTATTATAGTTATTAAATACACAATATCATTCATCAAAGAAAAATGCAGAAAATATGATCATTTTGATTTCAACCGTTCTAGAATTAACCGTTCAGTCAATTCGTGTTTCAGATGCATTTGCGACCAAAGACGAAGGCTGATTCTGTTGTTTCAATGTTTTGTACGTTTGCTTGTGTTATAGCCGTGCGAGCGGACCGGATGAGAGGCGGTAGGAACAAATTCGGACCCATGTACAAAAGAGACCGAGCGCGGAAACTGCAAATGATGAGACAACGGCAGCTGGCACTGCAAACGATACGCGGCAGCCTCGGTGACCCATCGAACTATCCTTCCGCTGTAACGCCTTTCCTGCATATTAAACAGGAAATACAAATACCTCAGGTCTCGAGTCTAACGTCTTCTCCAGATTCGAGTCCATCCCCCGCAGCCGTGGCCGCTGGTCTGGTCACGACACAAGCTGGCAGCGGAGCTGGTCAGCATCAACTGATCGCACCGTCCTCCCAGCCAAACATTTCTGGCGGTAATCACCTGCACAACCTCAACCCTGGCCTGGATAGCAAGCTATGGGCTGCTAATTCCACTACCCCTAGCCCGAAGGCCTTCAGCTTCGGCGAACAGTCCACGCAACCTCATGGAGCCGCTGGTTCCGCACCCTCTACCGCCACGTTGAAAACTAGTCCGATGATAAGAGACTTCGTTCAAACGGTCGACGATCGCGAGTGGCAGGCATCGCTTTTTGGACTGTTGCAAAATCAAACGTACAATCAGTGTGAAGTGGACTTGTTCGAATTAATGTGCAAAGTGCTCGATCAGAATCTGTTCTCGCAGGTGGACTGGGCAAGAAACTCGGTGTTCTTCAAGGATCTCAAGGTTGGTGACAATGTTGATTCTTTAATCATCTCGACTAGTCTCGACTAGTCTGGGTCGTTCAGAAACCAAGCGAAATTTCAATCACTTGTATTTCCATTTTGTGGAGTTTAAAATAGTGAAAAATTAGGCTTGGATGCGAACGATCTTATTGACTTTCGGGGAGCTAAATATATCGTGTTTTAACGTGTGTATAACGCTGTACCATGTAAATAGGCATATGTAGAGAACTTTACTCATTTGAACTTGATTTATTTTTTATTTATTGAGACGAAATTTGATTAACTCAATTACCGATTAAATTCATGCATGCAAGCATGATCCTCCATTTATTTAAGCAAGAAATGTAGCGAGAGGAACTAATAAAGTTTCATTAGCCATATAAATTTCAATTATAACATAACGAGAATCTGACTGTGTTGCGTCAGATTGTATCTTCTTTTGATCGATGTGAATTTGGCTTCTGTCTATGAATTATTTAAATATTGTCTATTTTCTCGCGTAAGTTACATCAACTCATAATGGTACTACAGACAAACGTAAAGTAACGTAAACAAGTCTTTAGAAGATATAAAAATTCAAAAATTTTAATCACGATAGCTGAGAATCTTTTTCAAGAGAAGTTAGTTCTTACCGATAAATAACTCCTCGCTGGCCTGTTGGTGGTGGTATGAGCGGGGATGTGAGGTAACCAACAGCATTGCACAATCACTGAATGATTTCAAGCATCGCCTCATATCTAGGTCATAACAAGATACGTTTCTGGGTTATGGCGGTTGCCCTAAAGCAGGCCCATGTTAATTATAAACCGTTTACTTAACCGATTACATAGTTTTTATTGTTTGTCTTTGGAAATCTGTAAAATGTTCAGTCATCATTTTGTCCAATAGCTTGAGCCATGCTTTTATATTTTACCAACAATATGGAGCACAAGTACAAAGATTTAATCGATTATTAAACAGTATTTCGTAAAATATAAAATAATTTTCCTTTTATACTTTTCTTGATATTATTTACATTTCGAGAGTCAAATTTTCAATTGTATTTTTCTGTTTTCAAAATTATACAATGTCTCGATGAAATTTATTATACATCGCTGTTGCAAATAAATTTATTCAAAAGATAGTAAAACTTTTCGATATAATTTGATCAAATTTTATATGTGGTTTTACAATTTATGACGTTCTTTTGGACAGGTTGATGACCAAATGAAGTTGCTACAGCACTCCTGGTCGGATATGTTGGTGCTTGATCATCTTCATCAAAGGTTACACAATAATCTACCTGATGAGACTACACTTCATAATGGCCAAAAGTTTGATCTCCTTTGCCTCGGCCTACTTGGAGTTCCTTCCTTGGCAGACCTATTCAATGATTTATCGTCCAAACTTCAAGAACTTAAATTTGATCTTTCGGATTATATATGCATGAAATTTTTGATGCTGCTCAATCATGGTACGTTTCCTTTTTCCTCTAGATTTCTTTTACATGTAGTTATTTTATTGTCGGATGACATTATCATTAATACATTAATTTCGTTCCAATATGCAGAAGTTCGTGGATTAGTTAATAAAAAACATGTTCAAGAAGGTCATGAACAAGTCCAACAAGCTCTTTTGGACTACACATTGACGTGTTATCCTTCTATACCGGTATGTTTGTCTCATATGTAAATAGATTTTCTTTTTTCCTCAAATTCAACAATTCCTGAACTATTCAATACAAATGGAATTTTATATAAATAGGATAAATTTAACAAGCTGCTAGCAGTATTACCCGGAATTCATGTAGTAGCGAGCAGGGGCGAAGATCACCTTTATCAGAAGCATTGTAGCGGTGGAGCACCAACTCAGACCCTTCTAATGGAAATGCTTCATGCTAAGAGAAAATGAAACGATACATTCGTTTGGCACTTTTGTCATGAGTTAGTCTATTGCTGTATGTCAAAAATCAAGATAGAGCCCCTTATTGTCAGAGTGGACCTCAAGTACCTATTAAGAACTAGTGCTGCACAGGTATTGGACCAAGTTAAGGGGCTCTGGTTCAAAAAATACCTATGCAGACAAATCAAGTATAGACGTACATACTTCACATACATACATAATATGTGTATTATAAAGTGTATCTAAATATAAACATAATGATATATATTTTCTATATTTGATGTTGAAGTTTTAGAGATGTATCCATGAAGAAAATTACTACCCATGTTGGTGGGTATAAGCGCAGGGAAACAGTAAGCAAGATGCCTTGAAAACAGTACAAAGGGTGGTTAAAAAAATATTGGTCAAAGGGCAGGCACTTTTTGTCTAAATAAGTAAAGCTATTTTTCTAATACTAGAAGCGATTATTTTTAAGCGATTATACCACTGAAGCCTTGCTCTCATTTTAACAAAAAAATAATCCTAATAATAACGAACGAAAGAAATTGTGTCGACTCTCCAGTCAATCGTGCTTCTGCAAGGGATTCAATGGGCATACTTGAACGACAGTAAAATTTCATGTGATATACTTATATATACATATATACATATATGTCGCACGGCCACCTGGGCATCCTTAGAACTTCCTACGGAAAATCTGCATTTTGTCACACTTGCACACAGCAGGGCTACTATATTGTAAATACTAGTTAACACATTCCAATTACGTTGTAAAGTATGAATCATGTTAAATATGTAATTATAATATTTTGTGTATAGTTTAATGAAATAAATATATTTCTGTTGCTTACTGAGAAAAAAATCATTAGCTACTTAATGTCTTCACTAATTTTAGAATTTTATTCATGTATTTTTCTTTATTATTTTTCAAATAGGTGGCGGAAAAAAGAATAACCACAAATTGCGATATTTTATTATTGTATATTGTATCATAATAAAGATTCTGTTTAAGAAATAAAAGAATCATTGGAGCAAGGTTTATGTGGTCCTATATTATCTAGCGATTAATACTAAGTACATAAGATCAATATTGTCTTATCGCAGTTGTTAAATAGATAAATATTTACTGAATGTTAAGATAGCGATCGAACGTAGTAATTTTTCACTAATAGATTATTATTGTTTAGTCAATAGTCAGAAACTTTTCAGTGCTGTGAAGGTTGTCTTTTCGACGCCTGTGGTATCTAAGCCATCGGTAATTACACGTGCTAGATTCGAGGCTCAAGTGTGACAACGGGAACAGAAATCTTTGCTCGTACTGGTAGGCTGGTAGTACCACCCTTTGCAACTCCTACTGTTTATATCCTCTATCAAAGAAGTACCTGGGAAAAATGCTATTTTACTACTTTCACTTTTCCACCGACTTCGATATAAGATATTAAATATAGATTTAAACGATTTGTTGATGTATGTAAAAAGATAACTCGATGCCACATTAGATTAAGAATCGAGTGTTGAATCAAATCAGGAGGAGTAGCTGCGAGTATTACTACCATGAAAGAATATATATATTTTCGAAAGCTTGCATGTACTTATCGTGTGAGTAAAGATTTGTGTCCATGCAAAAATGCAAAACATATATCAACATGTTCCCAAATTTTCAAATCGCCTGGTTCTTTTAATTAATCGCTCGAAAAAGAAACCGTTTGCAACATTATTGGCTCTTTAAATGATGCCTTCAAAACGAATTACCTTTATTTAACTCGCATATAAATGTCTACCTCTTCATAACTGTATTAAGTCTTACATTTTTACATTTTTAGTAAACCACATACCTCAGAATAGACACCCAGATAGCAAATAAAATGGAATGTATGAATGTTACCTACGTAGATTTAAAGTCTATGACTTCTGTAATATGCGTATCGACAGAATATAAAAGTTCCATTCAAGTATTGTACCCGTTATATTTCCACGTTAACTATTTTAGTTATTATTGTATTTATTCCAAATTAGATTATACTTTTTTATGATATATATGTTACGATATATTCGATTCGAAATTATTTAATTATCAATGAAGTCTCTAAAATCATGTTTAACTCTATGTTGCTGTTTGGGTAAAATCAAATAATGTTTTATTTATTGTAATTTTCAAGACCTCTCGTAGAACATGTCGGTCTGATAATTTTGGAACAATTTACAAAAATCGTAAACACAACTGTCTCAAAAAATGAAAATTGTCTCTTCTCAATATAATTCCCTAAACCAATCATCTTTGTATGTGTCCATCCTATTTAATCGTCCGCTCGATTCTGTTATAAAGTGTTTATTAATAATTGTAATTAGGAAATATAATAGTGGTGTTATAAGCATTGTGTTAAATATGTACAGTTACCAATTATTGGCAAACAATCTAATTTAATATCGATGTGATTTTTTGACCCAATAAATAATTGGAATTAACATTAAATGATGAACTATTATGCGTTGTTAACACTGCCATTAGGAGTTGGCAATTGTAAATTATGTAGAAAAAAAAAAGATTGATTGTAAATATATCTTTATTATTAACTGACAATTGTTCCTTTTAGGATTGACAGCGCTATTTTTATATATTATACTAATTGAACTCCTATTAAATGATATTTCCCTTATTGCACTCCTGTCTTTGGTATTATAAAAATACGGGCAATGACCACGAAACGATACGACGATAGTTTTCAAAAGGAGAGTAAAGGATGGTACTATAGAAATTATTAAGCAGACAATTTTCAAAAATTTACAAATAGTATTTCAAAACATTCAATTGTTTCTTTATACATACAAGTTACTATAATTTAAATGCGTTTATGTACAATACAAAGTTTATTATAATTTGTAACAATAGTGTCATTCGTATATTAAATAACATGTATAACATGTATAACATGTATCATGTTAAAATATTTGTTTGCTTTGTACAAATATGGTAACAAGATAAGAAAATGCACAGTGGTTAATAAAGACATCATCTAACTACTGCACATAGCTTCATATTCTTAATTTACATGTTATATATTACATTACATATATTAATTAAATTTATTTATTAATTACATTTATTAAACATATTGCCTAATTTTATGTACAAATTTTATGTGCCTTATCAAAATTTGCAATAATTTATTTTTTTTATATTTGCAAAGATACAATATTAATTAACTCGTACATTTGTTTTCATAGAGGCCTTTATATGTGATTAAAGAATCAAATGTAAACTGTATTTATTTGACATTTGACTAATATAATATGATATTCAATGTTAATATCGGATCATGCATGACTGTCACAAAGTTTAAAATAAATAAGAATAATCATATTTTTTTCACTAATGACACAATTAGAAATGATCAAAATTAAATTGTTACTAACCAATTTTATACATGTTAAAAACATGATACGTTTATGCTGGATCAGATTTTAAAAACTCATTATATGCTTCTTCATTCATTAGACTTTTTAGTTCATCAAATTTATTTAATTCTACTTTGAATAACCATCCTTTTTCGTAACAAGAAGTATTTATTAAACTAGGTATTTTTTCAACTTCTTCATTCTTTTCTATTACTTTTCCACTGACGGGACTATACAATTCAGAGGCAGCTTTTACTGACTCTAAAGCTCCACATTCAGCTATAAAAAAAAGTCATTTAATTTTGATTTTATAAAAAACATTCAAGGCATGAGCACTCTCACCTTCTTTTTCTATTTCAGATCCAACATCGGGAAGCTGAGCGTAAACAACATCACCCAATGCTTCTTGTGCATAATTGGATATTCCAATTATACCTATGTTACCTTCAATTGTTATCCATTCATGTTTTTCCGTGTAAAATCTTTCTAAAAATTTTATTTGTATTCTTTAAAATTACAAAAAAAAGTCAAAGATTACGCTTTCATAAAAACCAGTAAATTGAATACATATTTGCTAAAACAATTTTATTTTGTTCAATATAAATAATTGTTTAAAAACAATAATTGTTTAAAATCAAATAATATAGATGACTAATATTACAATTACAATAACAATTTTTCAACAATTGACAAACACATATCTGATATAACACTTCTTTCACATTATTGTATAAATTAATAATAATTAATAAATATTCTATTAACAGTGTAAAATTCTGTTTCTGAATGTATTGTTATAAATATGTAATTTTTCTATTAAACATTTAAATGAGATACTTACCAGCATTTAAAGAACAACTGTTTGTGATGGAACGTGAAAAATATAATGACACTTTTGGAGCGGAAAAATTAAATAAACACTCTCTCGAAGTACGCGAGAACGTTCTCGCAGTATATTTTGTCATTTGTACAATTACTTTCGCCATGTTAAGTTATGTTTTTCAATTTTAAAGCAATCAGAAAATTTTAACTTGAAAAATGCGTGCCGTGTGCAATGCGTTTCGTTCTTGATTAATTTTTTGTTTCTCCGTAATGTCGACAGAATTTCATATGAACGAAACGCCGGTTTTGTACGAATTAATGTATTTCTATAAAGTAACATGTATTTCTAGATTATCGGCAATTCTTATCGCACATACATGGTGCAAGAACACTTTATCTATGTCGCGTAATACCATTGACTAAGAATAGTATAGCCTGCATGTTAAAGAGGATTTCATGTCTCGAGGTCTGAAATACCGACAGGAACAAAATCACTAGTTTTTTGGCACACTCAATGATTACGATAAATAGCAGAACCATATTAAACAAAATGATTAAGTGAAATGATATAGTGTTGTCAATTATATGAAAAAATTTCTATAATATCTTTGTATATTATTCAACAATTTTAACTATATACTCACGACAATTAAATTAATTTATTTGCATAAAGGGAAGGATAATTATATAATTCCATTGACTAAAAATAGAAAAGATCAGACGAGATATGAAACTTCATTTCACAGGCAAGATATATGAATAGGTACTGCCTAACTAAGTGTATGAATAAACCTCGCAATATATTTTCAATATATTTTTAGCACTCACGATTGGGGGAACACAGGTTAACATTTTCGTGTCACATATTGTAGTATCGATTCAGGCCAGTTTTGTACTGCAGAATTACTAGCACACACGAGATATAAGAATGGACATTCCGATTTTCAAGATATTTGCGTTTAAAACTTATTCAACAATTGAAATGCCAGGAGCACGGCTAGCACCACAGTATTGGCATGCCATATTCTCGATACCCAAGTGATTCTGACACAAAATTAGAAATTATAGTCAGAAACAACTCCTGGCTTTCCAGATACACCCGCCTGAAATTCTTTCAAAAATATTTGAATCAGGACTACCGCTTTACAAGCGACACTGTCGCGACACCACCCCGAAGGTGCTTCTCGCAGAAATATCGACCACTCTATAAGAAGAACATGAGAATCGAGGAAGTGGAACGAAAAGACCGTTGAGCAATTCGCCTCACACACAGGTAATTCGACAGAAATTCAAACAGCATGTCGAGAACCAGAATGTTCTTCTAGTTGAAATTTCGAAAATTGTATCAGGAGCACATGACAAACCAGGCGTTGGAACGACAAAACAGCCAGCCCAACAGTTATCCAGCTATAGAATAATTCGAGAAAAATTCAAGTGGGAATATTTCAAGAACCAGTTTATCTCGCCGAAATTTCGAACTTAGTATCAGGAGCTCATGAGAAACGAGGTGGTGGCACTACTAGACCGCTCGCCGGGCAGTTCTCCTGATAGACGTAACTCGAGAAAAATTTAAGCAGAAGTATCTCGAGATCAAGAAGGAAATTCTATCAAGGAGGAGACATGACAAATGTCCGAAAAAATTTCAAGGTAGAATATCTCGAGAACCGGAAGGAAACT